GAGAAGTACAAGGAACCACTGCATTGTGTCAAATAATTTACCAACATTCCTGAATAAAGGAATTTTGGCTACACAAACTCCACGAAGAGCCCAATTTGGGAGGTCTTATAAATTCTCTGCAATCTAATCACAGCTAGTCTAGGGAATGTCATCTTTATCTTCCTTTCATTGAGCCTGTGACTTATCTATGTATTTACTAACTCATTGAAGAGGCATTTAGTGAATGGTATATTATGCCCTAAGCTCCTCACTTGAAGCACTAGGGATGAGGAAGGTCCTCTGCCCTAGCCTAACCTGCAGCTAAAGGTAACTACATATTGAGTAGGGTCACAGTCCAGATCATTTCCAAGAGACCAAGGGGTTCTAAAATGCCAACCTCCAAGGAGTATCCTGATGTAGAATGACCACGTGTCTCAGTGTGCCCATGACAGCCCATGATTCCATGGGAATTGTTCAAAGAAAGCATCACCAAACATTATTAAATGTGCCCCACTTTAAATAATAAATTATCTGGCCACTGTTTCATGGCTTAGAGTTTATCTGAGAAGTCAAGACTCCACCTTACAGGCTGCTCCCCCTCCACGATTCTTCCTAATGCAGACATAGGACCTTAGAAGCCTTGGTCTTAGGCAAACCTTGGGCTTGGTGGCCATAAATTTGCTAAATTTTCCATGCTAAAAATTTCCAAGGAGACAATGAATAACAGAGTATTTCCATTACTGCCAAAGGAGTCTAGAGCGTAGGAAAGGGAACATGGAAGTAAAAGGGACCTTACTGCAGCAGGACAACAAATGTGCACAGTCAGAACAATGCCATCCCTCTCAGTAGTACTGTAGAGAAGATAATTTACCAATCCAGGAATAGTTGGATTCTTTGAATCTGACATACACAGGGGTGTGCCAGTGAGACTATTCCAGTTTGTAAAATATTGAAATGATTTCATCCTGGTTGGTAAATAGCCATAACATTAAGAAGCCTGGAAATTTTACCTTGGCTGTCCCTTCCTTCCCCAGACCACAAGATCTGCTTGCAAGCCAATATCTGGAGTCTTAACGCCTGGTTCCACCGGAGTTCACCAGGAGCCTGCCGCAGAGCTCGGTCCCAATTTAATCCAATTGATCAGTGCCTGTGCCGTGCCAGTAGTAGCTCAATCGTGTGAATATCATTCCTGTACACTTCTGCAGCAATTTGGGCGGAAGGGCCCTGGGATCACTCAGAATACGAAACAGAAGAATAGGATACAGAAACATAGAGATTGTGAGCCAGCAGAGCTGCACATCCAGTTCCTAAAGTGCTGCCTCTCCCACCTGTGGGCATCCTGTTGTGCTGGGAACCCATCTTCTCCATCACTCGATGTCCCCAAGGCCCAGGGCCTCTGATTTCATTATCCAATGGCACCACTGCTAACTCTTCCTCTGATTATTGCCCAGGATGGGAGGAAACTTGACGGCCCCTGGCATCACACTCTCCCTGCAATTTCTTCCTATGCACAGCTTCATGGCCCAGAGTTGGCAGGCACTGTATACTACCACACAGCAAGTTTTCTGCCAACTGTACCTTGGCATAGAAAGGATGACGTAGTAAAGAAAGTATCAGAGAACTGAAATATTGACCCCTAGGGCTTATGGTACATGTGGAACACTGATCTTCCTGAAAGAGGAATAAGTTATTTCCATTCATTGCTCACTTGCAAACCAGAAATAACTACATTTCTCCAACGTGAGGTGCCAGTGCTAGCCCCTCTGTTCTGGAGAAGTTTAAAAAAAAATGAACAGGAGTCCTGAGTTCCTGTTTTGTTATTTGCCTGGTGTAGCACTGGGGCTGCTTAGTGGGTAAATCATGTGGCCCCAACTTCCAGAAAGGATCTGTTGGGCAGGGTCACATGAGAAGGAATGTAAAAATGTTAAAGGAAGCTGAGTTCTCTGCAAAGATGAGGGGTCATTGCTACATCTTTCAGGTCATTAAAGCAAAAACTTTCACTTGCCATAGAGGAATGCTGAACTTCAGACTCAGGACCCCAGGAACCTGAAGTACAAGGACGAAAGTTTTAACCTGAGGTAGAGTGAATTCCACTGACACCACAGGACGGAGAACAATGTGTTCTGCACCTTGAGAACTTGAGCTTTAAACTATGCTTCTTTAAGACTTTAAACACAGTAACTTTTAAAAACATTGCTTTCCTGAGTTCAATCCCCGGTACCCCCCCAAAATAAAAAAGCATTGCTTTATATTATAGTGAAAGACAAGTAGGCAAAAGATTTCCCCTTCACTCATATTAGATAAGGATAATTTGGCAATTAAATCTAAAAATAATAATCAAAAGTTCCTAGTTATACTCATTTAGACTCCAGAAATCCACTTAATGATGTGGCCAGATACATAGGCCTCTTTACGCCCCTTTTCTCCTCTCCAATGGTTCTTTTTGGGCTGTGCTGGGGATTAAACCCGAGGCCTTGTGCGTGCTGCAACCACTGAGCTCCAGCTCAGCCCTGATTCTTCTGTCTCATCTCCAAATGAACCTGCCAGCCATTATCAGTGAGGGAGGGAGGTTTCCTACATTGATTTTGCTTTAGCCACCCAGAACCTTTAATTAAGGCTTGCTTGGGCATCTGTTTCCACTGAATTCCAGGTGACACAGCCAGCTCTCTGGATGGAACTCAAGAGTTCAGGTTCAGCCGAGCGTTGAGGTGCTTGCCTGAAATCACAGCTACTCAGGAGGCTGAGGCAGGAGGGTCACAAGTTGGAGGCCAGCCTTGACAACTTACGAATAACTTGTCAAAATAAAAATAAATGAGGCTGGGAATGTAGCTCAGTGCAAAGGTCCTGAGGTCAAGCCCCTGTAGCACAAAAGGAAGAGGAGGAAGAGAAGATGGGAGGGATGGAGGGAGTCAAGCCTCAGAGATGACACAGCTCAGTGTATGATCTTACACCTCTTACGCCCATCACTTCCCTCCGGGCCTTGGCTTTTTCGCCTGGAAAAACAAAATGTTGCTGTTTCTCAGTGTAAGCCAGAGTCTTGCCAGGGGAACCCTAGCTGAAGCACCACCCTAAACTGAGCTTCAGGGAACTGCAGGTACTTAAAGCCGATGGTTTCCATCAAAAAGAATCTAACCCTGGGGAAAAGTACAATATCCATTAGCGCCCCCCTCCAGGTCACCACTCCCAGCCCAGGCTCTGCTGGTCCTCAGATCAAAGCTCTACTGTGTCCTTAGAGTGAAGAGAGAAATCTGTTCTAAGTGGGCTTCCGGAAACCATGCTGTTAGTATGAGAAAAACAGTAGGACGTGCGACAGATTCTCCAATCAGGTCACCCCCCAACCTTGTGTGGCCCTCAAATGTTGTTGAATATTCCCTCTATGTGTCTGAAAATATATGAATTTTTTATGAACCTCCCAATTTATTGCTAATCCTTAAGCCCTAGAGGAGTTGCTTAATTCCTTTCATTTTTCTTGCTGGTTACTGAAGCAGGAAGCATGGGCAAAGACAACTTAAGAATGTAACTGATTTTATTTAAAAAGCCAGGTATGGTTGCACACACCTGTAATCCCAGCACTCTGGAAGGCTGAGGCAGAAGGATCACCAGTTTGAGGCCAGCCCAGGCAATTTAGTAAGAGACTATGTCAAAATAAAAACTGAAAAGGAATTGGGGATATAGCTCAGTACAAAGGCCTGGGGTTCGATCCCCAGTACCACAGAAATACAAAACACACAAAAAGCTATCACTCTTACTTGTGTTGTTCTTTGAACTGTTTTGCTCACTGGCTTCTCCCACCCCATCTTTCTCTAAAATGTACTAGACCCTTGTTCTCGAAGCTCAGATATTCCTTTTCTTTGTGCCACCTCAGCATCTTCCCATGATCTCAGTCTCCTTGAAGTACCTAGTCCCTCACTGACGAAGGACAGATGAAGAAGTCATGATGCCAGGGACCCAATCATTTGCTAAGATACGAGAGTGACCAAGGTCAGGCCAAGCGCCTTCCCAATTTGAGGAAGACTTCCTGATTCCTTGGACACAACATACTGAGAAATAGTGAACTAGGTAAAGTGAGCTTTATAAAAGCAATTCCCCAAAGACATCAGACTGTGCTTTTAATGTTTTTAAAAAAGTAGAAAATGAAAAAAATACCAGTAGACGTGGAAACGGCCAAGAATATTGGCTCTAAGCCCCTGAAGACTGTTATTTGACAGCTTTCTGATGTGTCACTATTAGACCAACAGTAATTACCATGAGCTAATATTTGTTGAATGCTAGGCGTTCTTTCTGCCACTACTAGAGAAGGGCAAGGAAAATCCCAAAGGGCCATCAAGCTCTGGTGAGCTTTTGTTGGTAGTGACCCTTGGCAATGCTGTTCTCGCCAATACATTGGCAAGCAGAGTGGAGAGCAGAGTGGCACTCAAGGGAGGTGGCTCAGAAGCAGCACCAGCTGTCTCCACCCCCGTGGGCATAAGGCTAGTCCGGGGCTACCACGAAGAAGCAGTGGTGCTCAGTGTTCCTTAATAAACAAAATTCTTAATCCAAGCAAATGAAATGCCATTAGGAGCTTCTGCTTGCACTGAGCAGGCAGGCCTAGGGTCTAACAGCAGCTCCGGTGTGCGACCATGGGTAATTAGGGGAAGTTTGGGGTTATTTTTCCATTACTTCCTTCAGCCCGTTAATATGGAGAAAGCATCTCTCACCACACCCCCATCTCAAATTGTGGGATCCTGCCTCACATGTGTGCAGTGAGGTTAATGGATAAGGTCTCAGGAGGGCATTTCACAGGGAAGAGAAGCATAAGGGTTGCTTTCCAGAGGAAGATAAAGGAGTCAGAGCTGCTCTTGTTCAGTTTCTATTGCTTTTACCTCAATGGCAAATAAAAACAACTTTAAAGATATAGTCAAGGGTCAAGTTCTCTTTTGTTTGCCTACTTTCCTTCTAATCATCTACCTTTAACCATTTCCCCATGTAATTCTTACCCCATTAGCCCACTTGTAGGAACTTCGGAAATGACTCAAAATCACTACAGTAGGGAAAAAAATATTTATTTTCTAAAATCATTACCTTGACAGGCAAAACAAAGCATGTTCTCAATTTCATTCAGAAATACATTTTTAAAAAAATACATAGACCAATATGGCCTGCCCAGACATATATTCAACATGGTAAATATAAAGAATAAATTGTTTGAATATAAATATCTCTAAAAAAATAAGAACAGCAAAATTCAATCTAACCTCTTCCATTGTCTGGTTACATAAAGAAAAAATAATTTTACTGCTTGAAAGCATAACCAACATGTACTTTTCTGTATCTGTCAGAAATGCCCCTATACCATAGTGTCTCCATAAATCAAGGTAAAGGAAGCTCCTGATTGTATGATCTTTTTCCTTATGGATCAGAGCTAGTAGATCAGCACAAAAGCATTTAATCTACTACTGACACATTGGACCAGGCTTCTGTGAGGCTGGGCTCTAACATGCGGGTTGGAAGGAGTTGGTGACAGGAGGGGAAGAGTTTGGGGAAGCAATAATTAGAGGTGGGAAATACTCCAAGCAGAGTGCATTAATGCTGAGGTAGACTCATACTCATGAATCACATCCTGATTTACAGTAGTAACAGTTTCTTGCAGTTTTGTATTTTATGACTTTTAAAAACCCCGTCTTTTTAAAAAATTTTATGTGTGTTTGTCTTTCGAGTGTGTTTTCAATTTATGCATTCCTTAGAAAATCTTTGCATGAACTTTGGAGTTTCTCCCTGAAATGTGCCAGGCGCCTGAGTCAGACACAAACAGTCCCTTAGGACTTTCTTCTGAAACTCCACCCTCCCGTGGAATCTCCTTCCTCCCTCCGTAGGATGCCACCCTAATACGAGTGGCATAGTGTGTCCTGCTTTCTGAGAGGTCCATTGTCGATACCAAAGGCAAGAAGAGACAAAGCAGTTACCACCAGTGGAAGTAAAGGAAGCCAGGCTGAGGGGCACCTTCACCTTTCTTAGAATGCATACAAGAAGGACACGGGTCCTTTGCCACTCTGGAACAAGATGCGGTCTAAGCAGGGAGGATGCTCTTGCTCTGATCCTGGCCAGCTCGGAAAGAGTGCCCAGTTGGTCACAGGGCTCTTTCTCTGGAGGTGATGGCTTCAGACAGGTGGGACTGGAAGCTTTACAATCAATGTGTTCGGTTGTGGGTCACTTTCTGCTCTCTGTACAGCATGGCTTTCAACTTCGCAAGGGGCGAAGATGGTTTGATGCTGTTGCTGACGGCCTCCAACCTGTGAAAACAAGACGAGGGAAAACGAATGTTATAAAAATCATTCCTTGGCTAAAGAAACATCTAAATTTAGAATCTGGAACAAACAAACCTAAATCTGGATCCTGAACTTTCACACCAACCACAACGGCGTGTTACCCTTTGATAAAACCTCAAGTGGTATGAGTTACCATTGTGAAAGAGTTTACCGTTTTTGCTTAGAATGGGGAGAACAGTCATGTGACCCTGTCTAAGGGGAACTGGGCACTAAAGCCAATTTTGAAATAAACCAGAGATGTTCTAGAATCTTGTATACCTCTATCTCAATATTCTCTACTATGCAGACACTCAGCATAGGTTTCCAATAGTCCTGGACATCTACATCCCATAAAAACTGATAGTAACAGATGGAAAGAGAGAAACAGGAAGTATATGGGCGACCCCCAAACAAACACTTGTAGCAATTTTTTTAAAATTGCAGGCTTCATGTTTTTTGTTTTGTTTTGTTTTGTTTGCAGGAGAAGGGAAGTGGGAAAACTATAACATTGATTTCATAGCTGACATAACACAACTAATAGAAACAGTAATCATTCCCAAGTCAGTTCAGCAACTGTGATCTAGTGAGGATCCCTGCCAGCCCAGGATGCTGAACCCAGAATCTGCAGGGGTAGCTCAGGTGTCCACACTCAGTAGCAAACAAATCACAAGACCCTCCTGACTGCCAAGCCTGGGCTCAGAACACTCCGCTCACAGAACCTCTTGCCTCTGAATTTCTCAGAAAACTTTCCGTAGAATGCAGAGCAGATGACAGATCTGAGCACAGATGTCCTCCCTCAAACTTGTGAGTGCCAAAAAGTTTAGGATTTGGAAAGATCATCCCCGTAAAGCTGCCCATAGTAACCCTATGAGACCTTTGTGAAAAAACCAATTCTCCACAAATGCATTTCCCCATTTAAAAACTAATAATAAACTCAAAAAACAGCATGTTCTGAGTCTCACCAACCCTACCTAATGACTTTATTTTCCCCGTGGCCATCTGAATGACTGGTACTTTTGCAGGACTTGATTAGGCATGACTTTCATTTTTTTAAAAAAATGTCCTCTCCTCTCCTTGAAATGATTTTTAATTTCTCCAGAAAAACAGTAAGGGCACTAGGAGGGAAACACTGGACGTGACCAAATAAGAGTTGTCTCTGGATGTATTTGGCTTGGAAAATATACCTGAAACATGAATGGCGCGTGCTAAAGAAGAGCGGGCAAAAGTCTGCATGCAAGGCCTCTGTGAAAATACTGGAGGGGGGCTCCCTTGCTCTTTTCAATCTGTAGACCATGAATACCCTCCTGTCACTGTATTCTAAGCTGCTTCTCCACCCAGGTAGGGAGGACTAGAGGCTTAGGCCACAGTATCAATGACCAGGGCTAAGCCATTCTTGTGACCTCTTACCTTCTTGTTTTCCTTCCCTTCACCAGCTTCTGGGAGATGCACTTCTTTCCCAGCTGGGAAAAGTCTTTTCCTTTCTTGTGGTTCTCCCAGCCTTTCTCCACTGTTTCCTGGGACCTGTTAAAATGAACAGGAAAAACCATTTCAGCAGTGGTATCTTCAGATTCACCTCGACTCTCAACATCCCTGCTACTCTAAAACAGGAAGGCAGCTAGCTTTACAATAGGAAGGAGGTCAGGAGGCTGCACAACTGACTGAAAAGAAAAGGTAGGGTTTTGTTATTGTTGTTGTTCTACTCACCTGAGTTCTTTTCCTGGTTGGCAAAAATTCCAGCACTTCTTGTCTTTTTGGTTAGCACATTGGCATCTGTTCCTCTGCTTTATTGCCTTTGTAGGAAATAATTCCTTCAAGGATCGCTTGGACCTAGAAGGGCTTCCAAGTCCATAAGGAACAACATGCCTATCATCAAAAGAGAGGAACAAAAGATATTAGCATAATTAATAGTCTTCCAAATGACACATTCTTTTGAGCCAACTCATTCCACTGGGCACACAATGAGCTAAGCACACAGCACTGGGACAGTAACTTGAAGTGTGGCAACAACAGGAACACGTGTGCGTCCAAACAAGAGAAAACTAGTTTTCCTGATTAAGTGAAACTCTGTCTCAACTCTTCAACAAAGTTCAGATTCTTCTTGACACGAGCAACATTGTTCTTTGTTCCAAAATTATGACATCTCTGCTTTGGTGTCTATTTTATATTTTCTTCCTTTTCTAAGGTTCTATTTAGTTAACAGCTACTTGGAGTGGGAAGAACAGAAAAGCTAGTGCAAAACCATGACTCACAAGATTTTTAAGACCTACATTGAGTTGAAAGCATAGATGATGAAGCTACAGGTGGCCCCTGTGGGAGACTCGTGTTTACATGGTTCTCCTGCAGCAGGGTGACATTAAGAGGCTCCAGGAGGACTTATTGTCAGAAGCTCTCCAATAACTTGCAGTGTTCATTTTGAGGGAATACTGTTTTTCTTTACTCTATGAGTAGGAGAGAAGCCCATGAGCTATATTTCTGTTTCTGTCATCAAATAGGCTTTCTAAAGAGAAACAAGAGCACCAGAATACCGTTCTAGTTCTGCCTCAAGCTCACTGCTGCAGAAGGGACTTTCACAGTTTGGATTGGAGCTTTTCTATGAGTAAAATGAAGGGAGTGGATTATAACTCTCTCTACTCCCTCTGCTACTCACTCTCCACCCTCCTAGGAGAAGCATGGGGGAGAAACGCACAGAGGACCTCAACAGCTCATTCTCTAAGCCAAGCCCAACACTGCCATGCAAGCACTGCTCCATCCCCTCACTTAAGGACTGGGTGAGCTTCTCACCTGGAATCTGTACCAGCTTCTTGCTGGTCCCAGCCCCTCCCATCCATCCCATCCCACAATGAGCAGCTTGACCCTGAGCCTCAGAGGACCACTGGACTGCTGTCCCACCAAAGCATTGTGCCACCAATGCACTTTCCTATTGTCAGAAACACTACCTTCGGAGTCCAAGCCAGGAACTCCCCAGCAAAGCAAGACTAGTGCCCGGGAAGCCAGAGCTGAGGAATGACTAGAGCTACGATGCCCTCTAGGGACTCACTCGGGAGTGTTGACCCAGATGATGTCCAAGTGGCAGAAGTAGACACACTCCTTGTCCATCAGGGAGGAGCAGGAGCAGCGCTTGGACCTGCGCAGCAGCCCGGGGGCGTCGGGAGGGGGCTTCTCCCCTCCGCTGTGAGCCTTTGGGCTGAGCTCCTCGCCAGAGACCGCTGCAGGGAGAGAGGGAGTGCAGGTGAGGGGTGTCCTCCAGACTCCAGACACGCTGGGTCACAGTGTTTACACCAGATTGAGCACAGCAGATAAAGGCAGACAGAACATACAGCTGCCCTTAGCAAGAAACACAAACATCACTTTTCCCTCTTTAACATGACTCACCTTTAGCTGGCTGGCTTATCCACCTGCAGGGAGATTATCCCAAAACAGAGCAGATAAACACCCAAGCTGAGGTTTACCAGCCCCCTTGAAGAAGGCTTCAAGGAAATACCTGGAAGTGGTGCCTATTGGAAACTTGAGATGGCTTGCTCAGAACTCAGTAGGGCTGCACAGACTACGGTGCCTTAAGATTGGATGATGACTAAAGACCTAGCTCGAGGTGGAACCACTTCCCTGCCAGGGTGAGCTTCTCCTCGAGGTCACCCACCCCCTTACACCTCCACCTCGTGTGGAGTGCGGAGTGCTTGGATGGCAGATACCTCTTGAAGTTAAGCAGAAGGCAAGAGCACTGGGAAATGACAGAGGAGAAAAGTTAACTCTCTAATATTCATTTCAGGTGGGAAACTCCACAGAAACCACTGATCCACGGTGAAGTTAAGAAGCAGCTGCAGGCACCCAGCAAAGGCTGTGGATTTGGATTCAGGGTCGTGGAACAGCAGCATTGGCTTGTGTGGGACACACCGCCTGTCCCTTCCCCAGCATAGCCCTGCTCTTCCTGCTGACCATCCAGCACACAGCTTATCCGCCCGACTTTGTACATTTCAAATGATCACACGCATTCCAGGATTTCCATTCTCTTAACGCCCTTGCTCTTTAGTCAGGGTCATGGAAAGAAAAAAAGGTGCACTGACCCCCCAAACAGGGGGAGAAACAGGCAGGTGCTCTGGGGTGCTGTCTAAATCCTTAAGCAGCAGGAAGTATCCAGCCCCCCTCCCAGGACAGGTGAACACAGTTTAAGTTCGTCCTCTCGCTGTTTCAGGTGCCAAAACCTGCCCAAAGAAACCTAACGTCAACAGTGACAAATTTTAAAGAAAACATCTGCTTCGCCCTGAAACCGCCTGGGGATACGCAACACACTCGCGTTCTTCAGGTAGTTTTACTGTTCACGTATTCCTCAGACGGCTTGAATAAATTCCCTTGGCTTCAAGCTGGAATGTTGAACTATTTTGCACACTAACACGCTATTCAAACAATGTTTGAATAAGTTCCTAAATGTAGCATATACCTGTACGAACACACGAATTGCTAAACACACATTTGGCTAAATTACAGTTGCCCTATACGCTTCTTGATTTTTTTTTAAAGCTCAGGAAGTAAATTCTGCAGTGATAATAACATAAGCTTTTTAAAGCTACGGTATATTTAATTGCATTCAGTTGACTTCCATTTGTTCGCTAGAACCCTTACATAGCTGTGAGCAAAATTTCCCAGACACTTGCTACCTGAACAGAAAAGGGGAAAAACAGAAGCAAAAAGCCTTCAGGCGAATCAGAGGACCCTGACGGTCCCACTTTTGCAATGCAGCGTGCCTACCTGTTTCTGGAACTCCGTGGAGAGTCACCAACAGCAGGGGGAAAATCACAGGAAAATAATCCATTCTGGAAAAAAAGGTTTTTTTCTAAATTCCCCTGCAAACTGAATTCAAAGGAAAACGAAGAAAAACAGCTTCAGTTCCTTCGACGCGCTTCTGAGTATTCAGAGCTCAAAGTGATCCTGCAGCCCAGTGCGCTTTTCCGGGAGCAAAAGCGACTCCCCTGGCCGGTGTGGAGGCAGAGGCAGCGAGCTGCAGCGCAGGGCGGCGAGGAACAGCGCCGGCCAGACCGCTCGCCAGGCGCAGACAGAAGCGCTCTGACCTGGACAGCTCTCCGCTGGCTTTTTATATTGAACCCCCATCGAGTGGGGGTAAACAGCTCCGACTTTATCCCAGCCCTAGACAATGTTATTGTGTTATTAGTCACCAACAGGCAACGTGCGCCCGGAGATAAGACCGGGTCTAAAGGAAATCACTGCTAACTTCAGAGGCAGACGCCCGCCGTCTGACAATTCAGGGGCAGGGCTAAGAAAAAGAAAATACCCATTAGAGACTTCGGTAAACCTGCCCGTGCAGGGCTGGAGTCAGCTTCCCCTTTGCAAGCTGCCAGCCCGAGTCCAAGAATCAGAAAAGGGACTCCACAAAAAAAAGTCATACCATTGGTATGAAAAGTATGAGCTACAGTTTAAATAGATTGCATTGTGTGCCGGGGGCGGGGGGGGGGGGGTTCTTCATTGTTCACTTTATTTTCCTTTTATGTCTACCTACTTAGTCTCCATCGAACAAGGGGACGCGCTCTCTTCGCTGTCCCCTACTCGGTGGGATGATGTGGGCAGATGAGCACGTTTTCCTCTTACAGCAACCCCCTTCCCCGAAGTCATTTTGGGGGGGGGAGGGGGTAACTAAAAGTTCTTTGCTTCTACAATAAGAAAGATCAGAGAAAGACTGGCACGAAAGAAAGACTAAAAAGATAGGGCTGTATCAGGCACGTCCCCCGTGGGGGGGTGCGATATCACTATTTAGAAGCCCCCCGAATTTTTTTTCTGTGCCCACCCCTCTGGCAATTGCACCACAGTCAATACCATTGATCTTTTTTAAAATTGCATTTTGAAAGATTTTTATTAGTGTGTGTTTGCAGTACACAGTGTCTCCATGCCTTGGGTGGAGTTGGTCCACGTAGCTAACACACCGCAATTCCTTTTCCATCGCTTCCTCTCCCTTGCTTCCCCTCCGTCCGTCCATCCCTTCCCATTGACAAAGGTCTGTCTCCCTGCTTCCTGTCGTCTATCTTTCGTTTTGCTCATCATGTTTAATTTGGGTTTCTCCTATGGGAGAAACCATGCCCCGTTCTGATTTATTTCATTAACCATCAGTCTTAAGGTTTGGCAGGGAAGAACAGCAGGGGGAGATAAAGAGCCACGGGGGCTGGTGTTTCATTAGGACAGAAAAATAAAAGCCTTGGCCTGGAAAGGACAGGAAACAGCACGGGGCCAGGGCAGAGGAGGGACAGGGAATGGCCTAACACAGGAGAGGGGAGCCCTGAGAGTGCCCCGTTGACTCCTGACACTCTCTTGCATCCTCTCCCTGGTTCAGAGGAAAAGGGTGCTTGCCGCACAGGGTACTGGCCTTGCCCTTCAGGGTCCTATTGGGAAGGCGGAAATGCCGGTGGCCAGTGAGCAGATCCGTGATACCTCACACTTAGTAATCTGTTGACGTTTTCAAAACACTTTCTTGTCTATTTAACCTTCACATGCCCCCAGAGGTGACCACAGGCCACTGACACACAGGTGCCAGCACGCCTTAGTGAATTCAGCAAAACACACAGGTGACACATTGGCTTTTTCAGTCAGCCCCATTTTCCAGTGAGGGAAACTGAGGCCTCCAGGATGTCCAAGCTGCACCAAAGTTCCCCCAGCGATCCCCACAAGACCTCCAAGATCGATTTACAGTCCCTTCCTTGCACAGGAGAAAGATGAGTCTCTATCCAGGACCGAGGGAAGCTGTGGGGATAAAGCCCTCTGTCTCCTCCCAACCCTCGGATTTCCCCACTGGGGACCAGCGGGGGCTTCCACATGGACCATGTCTAATACTTGACAACACACGAGGATCCTCTAAAATCCAAAAGAGATTTTTACCCCGTCACTGAAGCTGTGGATTTGGTCCCCTGGACCTCCCTGAGGACACACAGCAGCTGTGTCAGGTGCCGCAGGACATCTGTTCCCTGAAAGCACTACGGGAAGGGAGATGGGGCTGCATGTCCCTTCCACACCTCCAGATGCTGTCAGCCGGGGCTCTGGGGGATGAGGTGTCCACCTTGACCCAGCCCCGGGGCCAGGAAGGCACAGCTCCCCCGTGAACTGAGCCCAACGGGAAAGCTGAGGTCACAGTCCCAAGAGCCAAGCTGCCCCTGAGAGAGCAGGAGGAAGAGGTCTTGGAAGAGTCCTGGGGTCTCTACGCCCTTCTTTTTTAAACTTCTGGCAAATTTGCACAGCCACAAGCAAGAGTCAGGACCAATTTTCCTCAGCCCCTTCCTGGAAGCCCCCGCCCCCGCCCGTGCCGGTGCCCTGGGGGTCCCAATCCGACTGCCGTTCACCTGGGGGAGCAGCTCCCCGCGTCACCCGCACCCCCGGCACCCTCCCGCCGCCCTCCCTGCTCTCCTGTACCATCCTGGGAATGTATGCGAATTAGAAATACAAAATCTGGGCAGCGAACCACCCCCCCCAACCTGGCCTTCCAGAACTTTGGGAAAATAAATAAAAATGCAGGATCTGATCCTTCCAAGTATAATCTTGCCCCATTATTTGATTCCTGCATTCCCAAGGTGCTGGCACAGTGTGTTTGTATTTCCAGGTCCTTTTATGTGTACATGTGCCTCGCAGGAAGGGGTGGAATCTGCCTTTTCTGTCCACCCCTCCTTGTCTGCCTCGGCCACGGCCCCCTTTGCAGGGGTAAGGAGGGAGGGCCCTCTGTCAAGCCCAGAGAAGGTGGCTGTAGCACTACCGGGCAGCTGCCCAGCAAGAACATTTCCCAAGAATCAAGGAGAGGGGAGGGGAGGAGAGCCCCCAACAAACCAGTTTTGCAAGCTGGATGCTCCCATCCCACTCCCCACTCCTGGCATTATTAGAAAAGGAGGTAGGAGGAGAAAGTTGAAAACCCGAATAAAGGAATAAATATGAAGGTTTTATAAATATGGAGGTGCACCCCCTCAGAGAACTACCAGGGGAAAGGCTCTCTGAAGCCCTGCACCCCCACAGCAAAGGGACAAGGAGGTAGAGAAGCAATAAGATGGGTTTTCTCCCCTCAATAGCAACTTGCTGTTACAGCTCTTGCCTTTGATGTTACAATCCAGCTGCTGGAAGCTATTTGATAAAGCTGTATTCTTTTATGTATTCTTTCTGTATCTCTGGCTCTGTATTAATAGATATCTATAAATAAAACACCATGAGCCCCAAATACAAAGACTACACAGTAACAAAGTGTACTGTTATTAGCACTCTTCAGCTTCTCTGTTTCTCAATTTTTGCGTAATAAACTTTGCAACTTTGTCAAGCCCATAAATTTGGTGTGAGATGTTGCATTTTGCCCACAGAAGAGAACAGTCATGAAGCTCCTTGACAATGGGACAAAACAGAAGCTGTCCACATCACTAGGCTTGGCTCAGTCATACCCTGGTGACTGTTCTGCATCTCTACTCTGTGTAGTGCTCTTGTGAAAAATTGTGCTTTCCATTCATTATGCCTCTGACACACTACACACCACCAAGAGCCCTGAACAAAGACAGCTTCTCTTCGCAACCACAACCTCAATAATCACTGTTGATTTAGCACAGGAAATATGACAATGGTCAGGATAGATTCATCCTGTGCATTTTCAAAACAAAGTATGCAACTCCATTTCCTTGACATTCATCCACTGCACCGTGACAGATAGCAAGTATTTAATTTAAAAGATTATATCCAATCCTCTAACCTAGCTTTTCCCAAAGCTCAGTCATTCATAAAACTTTTCCACAATTTTTGCCATATTTGTATGTTGCATATTTCTACTCAATATTTTCTTTCAACAGACTTATTTTTTCTACTTGAATGATTTTAAGGAAGTTTTATCTCACTACTATCCTGAGCAATAATATACATGAAATCATGGTTTATGTATGTAAAACCTTTACTTTCTGTGTATTCATTAAGTTATTAGAAATCAGAATGTTCATAAATATGTATAGGGTCACCTAATATCCCGACTCCAGCTTGCTTGTCAGTCTTGGAGAACACTATTCCACCCCTGCAATGTCTATGCTTACTGTGTTAAGAATTAAGCCCTGCTTTGGTTCTCTGACTCTGCTTTCCAGATAAACCCCAAATATCCCATGTGAAAATCCTCCTATAGATGCGCCTCAAAGAAAAGGAATCTAGAAAAACAAAGGGGTCTCATCCAGAAAGATTTCGTTGACACTTCTCCTAGGCTTACAGCATCTGTGACTCAGCAACCACCCTTTATTGTACTTCCTACCCTCTATCCCAAATTTAAATATCTCGTCCAAGTGGTCACATTGACACACACATGCACATATGTGTGTAAATCTATAGATTCCGGTGAGAAAGTAATAACTTTGCACACATCACAGAAAATGTGGCAGCCACTGTCTGCCTTCACATTTGTATCCTCTATTTGTACTTTTGTGCCACTCATGACATTTGGAACTGGAAGGACACTGACACAGAGGACCAAAGGAAACGCTCGTTGGGGAGAATGGCTGGGAGTCACCTGATAGATTTCACTTATGGAATCATTCTGAACAACCACATACCGGAAGGGATGTGCTAGGCTTTGAATAAGGTTTGTCCCTTCGAAACTCATATGGAAATGTGATCCCCACTGCGGTGTGCGGTGTGCGGTGTGCGGGTGTTGGGAGAAGAGGCCTTTTAGAGAGGATTGGGTCATTAAAAGGGATTAATGAGTTGTTACAAAGCCAGGCTGCTTCTGGTGTTTCTCTCTTGCTCACACCCACTTGCTCTTCCGCTTTCAACTATGAGTTGAAGCAGCACAGGGCTTTTACCAGAAGCCCAGCAGATGCCAGAATCATGTTCTTGGACATCCCAGCCTCCAGAACCGTAAGCCCAAATAAGTCTCTAGTCTTTGTAAATCAAGCCAGTGTTAGATACTGTGTTACAGCAACATAAACTGAAATAATGACAGTAAAAGGACTAATTCTGAAGGGCAAGTTTCATATTAATATGACAGCAACCTTCATGTTTTCTTAAGCAAACTTCATGTGGGAGGCATTGAGTGGGCTCTTTCCATAATGTTAGGTCTACTGTAATGCAAACCCCTTTTTATGATGCTATTTCACTACTGATTACGCATTTTAGGTTTACTTAACATCTCATTATGTGGCAAAGAAAAATAAGCAAGATCTCTTGCATCTTTCTTACACAACATCCTTTCATGCTCCTACTAAAATTCAGAGAGCTATCTTTGGACAGTGGCAAGAAATTGGCTGACTTGAAATTTACTCTTC